AATGGCTTCACCTCCGTGAGTAATCCCAGAGTCTCTGCGTAGTAAATTGTCCTCAACAAAAGCCATTAATATCTGGTACAAATCCTCTGGCCCTTCATTAGACTCAAGTTTAATAGCAGCAAAGTCAATGAAATGTGCACCAGTTGATTGGAATCAACAGGGCAGTAGTGGAAATAACAGGGCAGTAGTTAGCGATCTGCCCCAGCATAAGCTCGAGCGTGCTGACCTTTTGTTGGCGCGTGCGCCGTTGCGCCGCGGGAACATCGTCGTCGTCTATGGGGTGTACTGTATGCACTTTTTGCTGATTGATAAGCAAACTGAGAGAAGAACTAACGTGTATACGCTTGCCAGCCATCTGGCCAAAATCCCATAGTATTCAGGCGTCAGACGTAAGATATGAGACGTTAGACGTCACGGTCATGTGTCGGAGCTGCGCTCAAACTGCGCGGAGGCGTGGCTATGAGGTGTGATTTAAGCACTTACGTTGCTAACTAAGCAATCAGTCGTGTCGATCGTCGCGTACCTTGCCGTGAGCAGAAGCCGCGACCAATGACGTGTGATAAGAAGCGCGACACTTTCGTCTTACAATGTTATTTAGAAAAAGTGCTTATAACTTGTAAAACAACAACCAGGAACAACCAATTCACAGCTTTCTTGTAAGCACCATATATAAGATAATGGCAGTATAATCCAAATGGAAAGACAACATTTTTATGAGTTTAAGAGTTTTGTCCCCAAGAAAACAAAATCGAAAAATGGCTTAATGCATTAACACAGTTAAATCCAAAGACCAAATTCTAAATTAAAGATGCATTCATAATCATCTACTTCATCTACTGTAAGATCACTTACAGTAGTGTAATGAAAACTGATGTTTCATAAAGCTTATTGCTGTATTTTATTCTTTCTGCATTTTTCATTTGTGTTAGGGTTAGGGTTATTACTAAGGGTTAGGGTTAGGGTGTTGTATACTAAGACATCGAGCTGCCAAATAATTCCTGAATCCCAATAAGAGGTTTTTGTTACAGTGTCATCTATTAAATTATGTAAGCCTATTTCAGTGACTAACATGGAGCGTCCAAATATATTCACAGTTACAGTTTAAATAAAATAATACAATATAATAATATAGGCTAATGTTAATCGGAGCACATATGAACTTACTGGTAATAGTTAATACAACACGTCTCTAAAGAAAAAAATAATTCACTATACAGTAGACCTCATTTCTAGAGTAAATAATAAATGATGTTTGAAAAAGTACAGCGTTTTCTTCACTAAAACACTATTTTTATAAAGACTAATGTTTTTGTGTGTTTGAAGAGCGGAGAATAGCTTTTGCTGTCTAGTTGTAACCAGTAGGCTACTTTTGTAGGCTACGTTTTAAATATCCTGTGCATATTGCGCTTCATCGTCTATCATGAGATTTTGGCCAAGTGTATTAAACGACATGAAAAACTAAGCGCCCATATAGCTACAATAAATGTTATAACCTGTAAGTTGATGAAAGCGTATAATGCGATGCACTTGCTGCCTCAGATGCGGCCGTTGTAATGACAGACAAAACACAGATCTCCGTCATTCGCTGGTCAAAAACCTTGTTAACTCCATTTGAGCTTGATTTTCATAAAATGTTAAGTGCAAGTGTCTGATAAAGCCACATTCCAACTCTGACGACGCAGTGTTTAATTTTTTTTTTTTTTTTAACGCTGTTTCCTTTTCTATTTGTTTTATATTTCAGTGCTTCGTAATGTGCATACCTCTCTCTTCCCCATTACACAGCTATTAAAATAGTTCAGTTTTGGTTTTTAATGGCAAAGTGGTCATATTTTGCACTCACAATATCAACAAAATCTTGTGCTTTTGTAAAGCAAGGAAAACAAACAGGATGCGCTTTCTGTCGTCTTGGTCTTGCGCAGGAGCGCTTCGCCGACATGATAAATACATCTATAGAATTCTTTAAATTACTATTTTAAAACTAAATAATTAAAATTACAAAAACAAAACCTCTTACATTATGTGATCCCTAAAGATCAATTTCTCTCTAAAGGCACGTCCAATGAGGAGATGGCGAGTCAGGTTCATTCATTTTTGCAACATTGATAGTTTATTAACAAATAATTCAAATATCCCCTCACTATTTTTAACTTTTTTTTTTTTTTCGGTGATTCTTTCAGCTCTCTCTCCAGTGCTAGGATGCATTTTTAAAGCAGTCACCTGTGCTCCTGTTTATACTATCCTGAGATTCTGACTGGTGTGTAATCAGTTTTGCTACTGAATGCTTGCTTATGGATAATTGTGTGTTGTTTGAGTTCACACTGTGACAGTAGAGTTAATTATATAATGTGTTTTATGAATGAGAACATAAAATATCTGTAAAATGAGGCCAACTTTGGAGAAATCATTAAAAAATTGGAATGTGTGTGAGTATTTATGCATGCCAGTATAATATATAGCCTAGAATATTATAATTTCTAAACTACTAAATTAATTAGTAAAACATGATTGAAGTGTTTACTCATGGTCCATTGCTTACATTATGAATGCATCTTTAATTTAGAATTTGGTCTTTGGATTTAACTGTGTTAATGCATTAAGCCATTTTTCGATTTTGTTTTCTTGGGGACAAAACTCTTAAACTCATAAAAATGTTGTCTTTCCATTTGGATTATACTGCCATTATCTTAGCGATATATTGTGCTTACAAGAAAGCTGTGAATTGGTTGTTCCTGGTTGTTGTTTTACAAGTTATAAGCACTTTTTCTAAATAACATTGTAAGTTCATTGATTAGCTAATATTGCAGTGTAATTTTAATTTTACTCGTCATATTTTCGTCAACATTCTGAAGATTATGGAATATTCTGGAATTTGGAGGTGCTAAAATGTTATAACAGACAGGTTTTTTTCTTTCTTTTTGCTCAGAACAAAACAAAACAAAAAACACTGATCTATAGCACTTAAGACATTTGACAAAATCATACACAGAACTGGCAAAAGGTACTGCCGAGGGCACTGCGCAGACGTCTTGTAGCTTCTCAAGTATCTTCTCAGGCAGCTTCTCACGCGAGAAGGGGGGCGACGAAAGTGTCGCGCTTCTTATCACACGTCATTGGTCACGGCTTCTGCTCACGGCAAGGTACGCGACGATCGACACGACTGATTGTTTAGTTAGC